CTGATGTTCTCCTTATCCATGATTCTCCTTCTTTGCCGCCTTTTCTCATTCATCTTCCCCAACCATTCTCAGCTACTTACAACTTAATCGTTTTAGCTAATTTTTCTGCTGCTTCTGTAACATGATTCCTCACATGGACTATTTACATCATAATTTCCTGAAGCTGCTCGATAAAATGCAGGTTCTTGGGCTTCACCCAGAGCTACTAATCGAAGCTATATTTCTAACTGCCATCAGTCAAGTCTGGCTCATAGCAGCCATTTGGGAAACAGTAGAACTGCCTCTTTGCATTTCTGAAGCTTTAAACTCCTTATGGGAGCAGCACACCTCCTCTTTCTCCCTTGGAGTAGCTAGTGTTGGTCATCTGGTATCAGATTGTGGACCGTATGGTTCCCTATATGGTCCCCGACACCCCTAGAACGCCTTCTTGGGCTATTCTTAGGTACATTAAAGTTGGAGATGCATTGCTCTAAAAGCAACTTAAAAGTTTTACAGTTCTTGGCACATGATTTATAGTCATAAAATGTAGTTACATATAATTCGCATTCATGTACTATAAACATATGTTCGACAGGCCTACATCTATGTTCTGCCTCCATGTGAATGTCTATCTAGAACAATGGTTTTCAAGTGAGAGTGATTTTGTTACCAAGGGGATACTTGGCAATGCTTGGAAACATATTTGGTTGTCACAACTGGGGTTGGGAAGTTACTGTTAGCATGTAGTGATCTCTACGTCAGAAGTGCTGCTGAACATGTTACAATGCACAGACAGCCTCCACTGCCTCTGAAAAAGAAAGATCTGGTCCAAAGTGTCAGTGGTTTTGAGCTTAGGAAGTCCTGATTTGGGGAACGTGCCCTGTAGGGTGTAAGTTCCTTGGGTTTAGAATGAACAAAAGATGCTCAATAAGTCACGGAGACACCTGCAAATAGTAAATCAAATCAATGTCATCGAAGTTTTCATTCGAAGAGTAAACATATCCGCTTCCTAAGCTCCTCCCCTGAACTCATTGAGAAGGCAAATGTCACTTAGTAGAAGGGTCCGGCTTGCCAAAACATATGAGAAACATGCTTCACAGTGGATGTGTTTCCATGTGAAGAGACACTGAGTGCATGCTCAGAACTGGGGATGCAGGCCAATGAAGGAGGCTGACAGCCCAAAATATTGATATTCATGAAAATAAGACTACTTGACAGACATCGAATCCCCGTGGCTATATGATGGACTTCAGACATCAAGAACAGAGGTAAACATCAAGGGGCAAGGGAGCTTATATTTTATTGGTAATAAAGGAAACGAAAGTTCTTATTTAAATGATATGCCTTCAAGCATGGGCTACATCAAGGTGTTGACAGCATCATTTTTCTGGGAGATGAGCAAGTAAATTTAAATAGTTTCCAAGTTGTAAGTATTTTGATTACCAAGGAGCAGTGGGCTGCAAAGCTTGGCCAGTGGAAACAAATGATTGATAGCTTCCTCTAACACTCTTGCCTTTAGTTTCCCTGCACGGCTCATTATTCTGCCACATTCATTTAAGCTTTCTTATTGAACTGAATTAGGGACTTAGATTCTCTTATCATCCCTATGGGGACGTTGATTGTTTATTTGTGGATGACAATAATTGTTTTTATCGATCCCCAAACGTGGGAGGTATAAAAAGTGTGATGGCTGGTGCCCAGCTTGTACGCAGTCAGTGCCGGGTGCGTGAGTGACAAATTAAAGGACAATATTTGGTCCCAGAGGAGACACTTTAGGTTTTTTTAAGACATTCAAAAGTTATCATTAGATCTCTCCAAGCTGAAAAGCATGTACAATTTCACATCTCTAAGTTCAACTCTTTTTGTAGTTGCTCTTATTGCAGCTGAAAGGAACTGCTTGGGTCTAATTGATACTTCCTTAGCTCCAGTCTGCCCACCCAGCACATGAGAGCGTACAGAAATGATGTAATTACAAGAATTCTCAAAGCCCGTGATATCCAGGCCAGCGAAGCTCTCTTGGGGCCCCAAATCACCAAGGTATTCATTCAGAAGAATTCCTGGGTCAACCCAGCCATTTCACCGATTCTATTGCAAGCATGGATTTTAACCTCAGAGTATTTTAAAAGAGAGCACTTTGCTAGCCCCAGCTAGCATGCACTATGGGCAGGAAACCTCATGTGATTTCCCATCCTAAATATATCAGAGGCACCAGGGAAAGAAGATGCAACTATCTAATTAAGTGCCGTGTGTAAGACAGGGCACTTGAGCAGTATGAGCCTCCCCAGTCTGAATTACAGGCAACACAGCTCACTTGAAGAGCTTCTGGGCTAATTGGCATGTGTCTGTCTTCCCAGACACAAGATAAATCAGATTAGGCCTAAAGGATTTAGATATCAGAAATGTGCTGAAATGTCCTTAGTAGTTATGGTGGTCAGTGACAGAGTGTGGGTTTATAGAAGAAGAGCTGACCACGCTCTAGTATGCCAAGGAATCTAGGTGGGGGCTAGGCATTTTTATCTGTTTAGCCTTTTTTTAAAATCATGTTATTGGGGGTTCATACAACTCTCACCACAATCCATACAGACATCAATTGTGTAAAGCACATTTGTGCGTTCATTTACCCTCATGATTACATTTGTTCTCCACCTAAGCCCCTGGCATCAGGTCCTCATCTTTCCCCCTCCCTTCCCACTGCCCCCCCTCATGAACCCTTGATAATTTATAAATTACTATTTTGTCATATCTTACACTATCCAACATCTCCCTTCACCCACTTTTCTGTTGTCTGTCCCCCAGGGAGGAAGTTATATGTAGATCCCTGTAATTGGTTCCTCCTTTCTACCCCACCCTCCCTCAACCCTCCAAGTATCACCACTCTAACCACTGGTCCTGAAAGGATCATCCATCCTGGATTCCCTGTGTTTCCAGTTCCTATCTGTACCAGTGTACATCCTCTTGTCTAGCCGGATTTGTAAGGTAGAATTGGGATCATGATAGTGGGAGGGAGGAAGCACTTAGGAACCAGAGGAAAGTTCTATGTTTCATTGTTGCTACCCTGAACACTGACTGGCTTGTCTCCTCCCCATAACTCTTCCGTAAGGGGCTGTCCAGTTGCCTACAGATGGGCTTTGGGTCCCCACTCCGCACTCCCCCTCATTCACAATGGTATGATTTTTTGTTCTTTGATGCCTGATAACTCATCCCTTCGACACCTCGTGATCACACAGACTGGTGTGCTTCTTCTGTGTGGGCTTTATTGCTTCTAAGTTAGCTGGCCACTTATTTACCTTCATTTAAGACCCTACATGCTATATCTTTTGATAGCCAGACTCCATCAGCTTTCTTCACCACATTTGCTTATGCACCCACTTGTCTTCAGCTATCATGTCGGGCAGGTGAGCATCATGGAACGCTAGTTTAATAGAACAAAGTATTCTTGCATTGAAAGAGAACTTGAGTGGAGGCCCAATATCCATCTGTTACCTTAATACTAGACCTATAAATATATGCACATAGATCTATTTCCCCATCCTCATATATAAATATATTTACATATGTACATGCTTTTATTTAGACCTCTATAAATGCCCTTTGCCTCCTAGCTCTTTCCTCTATTCCCTTTTACTTTCCTCCTGTCCCACTATCATGCTCAGCCTTTATTTGGGTTTCAGTAATTCCTCTCGGTTATATTGCCCTTGACCCACCCTACCAGGCCTCCTACACCCACACAGTTGTCAAACAATTTGGGAAGGTCGAAGTGCCAGTATGAAAAGCATTTCAGAGAGATCGACAATCTATCTGTTTTAGATGGCATGGGTCATCTTGGCTAAAGGTAAATAGATTCAGCTTTTCATTGAATAATTCCAAGAACTATTGGAAACCTAGGAAAGGCCTCCAATCTGTGGTCTGGAGACATTGACTACCCTCTCATTTCTGCTCTTCCCAGCTGTTTCTTGAATAGACCAATCGCTCTTCCATATTTATGTTTGGCCCTGGCTACTTTCTCTCCCTGAAACACTTTACCATCATATGATGCACCTGGTTTCTTTTCCCGTGTTCTTTCCCCCAGACCATTGCTCACTTTATCCAAATCAGCATCTCTGATGAGCATTAACAACACAGCCACCTCCCACCCTAATCCTGGAGCCTGCATGAAGTCAGAGACTTTGTCTGTTTTGATTACTACCGGGTGGCACAGTCGTTGTGTGCTGTACTGCTAACCGCAAGGTTGGCAGTTGAAAACCACCTGCTGCTCCTCAGAAAATGATGCGGCTTTCTACTCCCATCAAGAATTACAGTCTCAGAAACCCATAGGCACAGTTCTACCCTCTCCTACAGGGTCCATAGGAGTTGAAATCAACTGGCTGGCAATGAGGTGGTTTTGTTTCTTTGTTATCCCAGCTATCTAGAACTATGATGTTATAGTAGGTGTTCAATTAAAAATTATTGAACAGATGAGTAACATTAGCTTTGCAAAGAAAATATCTTGTGTCATGAAAATTAGTAAGGGAAAACTCAGAGGCTTTCATAAGTCAAGTGATTTCCCTACACAGCATCCAGTGTATTCCGGGTGTCCAAAAGGTCTTAGGGAAGTTGATATGTCCAGGAAAGCAAGATAAAACCATTATCATTCCATGCCCATCAAGCCTCTGAGCATCTTTTAAAAATCTCTCCTCTGATACACAAGACTAATTTGTGTCTTATGAAAAAATCAAATAAGTTATTTTTCACCTGAAAGGAACAGGATTAGTTGACGTCCGATATTTGCCATATGGTTTCTCTTCCATGCAACATAGCTTCAAGGCTTAAGGTAGCAAGAGTGAGGCATTCCAATAAATTATTCAGAGATAATTCAAAGTAAGCATGTGTCTTGGACAGATTGTCAAGTTTCTTCGTGCCTTTTATCCTGATAACAAGTGCTATGTTTTCGATAAAATGATGTTCATTTCTGACCACACTGTATTGTTGCTCTCTGTGTTGTTCTGTTTTGATTGTTTGTTTTTGTTCCCCTCCTCCCACAGAGTCCAGTCTGGCTCTTATCTCAGCACCGGGTGGTTTACCTTCATTCTGGCCATGGACGCCTGTTACGGCATCCATGTCTACGGCATGATAAACGAGACCTACTGCAAGTAAGATCACAGGAAATTATTTTTATCCATCTCCAATTCTGAGATCTTGTCAAAATATCACAATTCATTTTAACACCGTAAATCTGAGAAACAGATAAAGCAACAATTATTTCCTGGTGTTTTCGCCAACCTGACATTTTATTGTCAGTGCATCAAGTTGTGACTTTAAGGGGTGATAAAAAGAAAAATATTTTCCACGGTCTAATGTCAAATGTCACAAGGAACATTTTTTCCCTTAATCAGTGACATATCAGGGACTTGTGGCTCAAAAAAGGCAGAGCAAGTTTAGTGGTTATTTAATTTGCAAACAAGATTGTCATTGCTGCTCCTTTAATGGTTTGATGGATGACTATCTACTCAGTGTTTACATTTGATCAGGAAGGACACAGTGTCCAGAAGCCTCAGAAAAATGACAGATTAGCCAGAGTTTCTGGAAATTATAGTTCACAAATAAGTGAGTAGCTGGCCAGCTCTTTATTTAAGAAGGGTGTGTTTATCCACAGTCTATCCTCGTTGGTAGGATAGTTTTTAATTAGATAATGAAGCAAGTCTTCAATCGTTCACCAGAATAATGGAATATATTTCTGCACCAAAAATTACAATCTAATTCAGACAGCATTTTAATCATTTAAGTCAAAATGGTTGCTCTCAGCCACAATCTTCCAATCACAATTAACTATTTCAACCTAAACAGCTTACTCTGAACATCCCTTTTCTCCAGTTCTGAAAAACCATCAGGCAATGCAGAGTTTGCTTCCACTAATACCATTTCCTTCTTCAAAGGATAGCTGTATGTGGGAATATAATTGATATGTTATATACATTTTATTTGATCTATTAAAGCACTGAGGAGCTGGCACATCTTCCTAAAAGCTTTCATCCATTAATAGCTTTTAACTGAGTCCATGGACAAGAATCACGTATGGCTTTTTAGTAAATGCATTTACTGGGCACATAATGGATTCTTGTAAATGTATACTCATTCTTCATCTCCATCTTTTTCTTCTTGTTCTTTTCTCTTTTTTCTAGGACAGAAGGATATAGAAAAGTCCCCTACCATTATTATGAACAAGGAAGAGATGAGTGTGATGAATATTTTCTTCATGAACATGCCCCCTATGGGGGGCATAGGTTTATCACCGAAAAGAAAGTATTTGCTAAATGGGCCAAGAAACACAGGATAATATTTACACATCCAAACTGGACAATCTCTTGATGATGCCGCTTTTTAAATCATGCCACCCAATTTGATGGGATACTAATCCTGCAACTGTGATGCTGATGCTGATGGGGTTGATGATAATGAGGAGGAGGAGGAGGAGGAAGATCAGGACAACAACAATGATGATCACGTTCCTGTACTCTCTCAGACATGGACAGTCATTTTGCCAGTCACTTGAATTTGGATTCTGTGGAAGGTGGTTATGTTCATTAGGTTTTGTGTGAAGGTTCAACACTACATTCTGCACTTTATAATTTAACTGGAACTGAAATGAAGGCCAGTGACATTGCAGCTGTGACCTAAGAAATGGGATGATTATCCTTCGAGATGTCCGCCCAGAATTCTTGAACTGTGAGTAACTTCCAAAAGCCTCGGCAGTTGGCCACATGAAGCAGGGTTATTACTCTGCAGTCTATTGAACTTGAACAGCTCCAAAACTTTCAATAATGGTTGATTGTCGTGCAGGGACTCAAGATATGGTAACTGGGCATGATGGTCTTACTCCACTTACTAGTCAGCCTGACAGAAGGGACGGTATCTCTTCATGGCAGACCAGCTTCATACAGCGAATGCCCCAGCCCCATCGCCGAGCTAACCAGGAAGACACTGTGGATATCCTTGCCGTCAGAATCACTTGACTATCTCAGACACTTAAAATGGGCCAGTTCACGAAGTTTGATGAATTTCCAATCTAGCCACTCCATTCTTACTACTCCAAATAATGTAACTAAACGTGTCATTAGAATGATCTATATTAATGTTTGGATATTTTGGGTTGAGTTCTAAATATGTCATAAAGCTACTTAATACATAAGATAGCAACTTCAATACTGTAATAATATGTACTGTGAAATCATTCCTAAAACACAAGCAAAAGGGTTTACTAACCCTGCTTCAACATATAACAGCACAAAATTTTGTGCTTTTTAAAATCATGAAACCAAGAAAGCAAAGCATATTTTTACATCAACTTGTATACTATCATAATTCATAATGTATATTTGTATATTCAGATATCTATTTTATAAACCCAAGATGTGTCTCTCCATACATAATATTGTCTTTGCCAAGTGCCAAGAGTTAGACCTGGAGAGGAGACTATTCATTGTATGAAATCTGACCAGAGCTTCTGCCTTCTAGGGGTTTATTTTCCCCACAGGGTAACAGTTGTTAACCATAACAACAATAAGAATGGCCTTAATGTCCAATGTGCTCTGCCATTTAAGGGCCTATGCTACCCCATGTGAGACCCATGACCATTGCCTTGGCATTTTGACATTCCTTTAACAGATGCTCTGCAATTTTTTCATTGCTATATATTCCATATTGCTCCCCTCATTAATATTTGTATAGAATAGCATTTAGGTAGACTAATAACCAACTGATTTCGATGCCAAAAACAATGAATTTGCAAGAAGTGTCACAAGGATAGCCTTGGCCATCGACTAGGACCTTTGTGAACTGCTCAAGGGCAAGGGGAAGGATGAGGAGACAGAGACAATGGCAGGAAATGCAAGCAGAGAAATATACATTTCTATCCCAGGTTTGAGACAACTCTGGTCTCCACTTACTCATTGCTCAGAAAGTACTAGAGGATCGATTTGCTGAGAGCATAGTTGAGAGGCCAAAAAACATCCGGGCAGAATGGTTGGAGAGACAAAGGCCAGGTTTAATTACTGATACCTGAAGAATGATGTAGAGGCTGGAAGTGGTGAGTCATTTCACCTCAGAAGCCTTTTGGAGCTCCTTGAAAGTGCTAAGTCCATGACTAGTTGTTATTAAAATATACCATCTTGGATGAATGCATGTTCCATGCTCACTTCTGCCAGGTTGCTACCCTAGTACTCATCCACAAAAGCACCCGTGCACCAGGTCCCTGATTGGAAGAAGTTATTCTTTTGTTATTTCCTCTTAATTCTAGGAACGTTAGGTTTTTGTTGTTGGTTTTTTTTTATTTGTTTGTTTTCACTAATGATGAATAGAAATGTTCACTGAAAGAAAAATAAACAGATACAAATGTTGAAACTGTAGTGCAGACCTTTATTTTCTCCCCACTGGAACAGAGAAATTACACTTTCAAATTAAAGAGAGTCCTGGATAGAATGCCTGGGGCCATGAGATAACGGAATGTATTTTGTTCTCTAGTAAATGGCAGGCCAGTTCTACTTATTTTCGAGGAAACTTGGGAACCCTTTCTTGCTTTCCTCTGACTGGTTTTCAGCCCTCGGTGTGGCTGTCTCCAACGAGGAGCCTTTCGTGAGGCCTGGGGCTAGAAGTGGACGTCTGTCAGTATCCCGTCCTCCACAGCACATGGGGGGGGGGGTATAAAATAGACACTGGCTCTACACCTGTCTCCTGTTCCCCTGGGCTGAGTTGGTGACCTTGTAGCCTTGTATTCCAACCCAAGGCGACCCCGTGTGTGCTGCCCCCCCCCAGGTTGTCAAGACTGTGACCTTGGGGAAGCGGATCACCAGGTTCCCCTCCTCCCCTCCTTTCTATCCTCGTTTCAACTCAGCTTGGCCTGTTCCATTTTTATTTTTGTTTCCTTTTGATGCTTCTAAAAGTAAGAAACGACAACAAAAATCCCTCCTCCTTCTCAAATTTGAGACTGGTGTGGTTGATTTTGGTAGCCTCTCATAATTTATTGTTCCTAATTCCCTGTGCGTTCGCTTTCTATTCTTTACTCTCAGCTTCCTAATGCAAAGTCTGATTTCTCCCATGTTAAGAAGAAATTTCCCATCTAAGATTTATGGATAGAGAAAAGCACAGGAAAGGAGCAATTCAGGAAGAGTGCCCTGTCATGCAAAATGCTGGCTAATTGTCAGGCTCTGGTTCACTGAAAAGGGATTTCATTCAGCATCTACTTATTGGAAAATTTAATGACCCTCACTCATCACTGATAGAAATGTATCCAGGAAGTTAATTAACATTTGGAAAAAATGAAAATATTTCACTATCATCCAAGGTTTTAGGCAAATGTAGTATGGAAAATGACCCCAATTTGCTGAAATCAGCATTAAAATATGCAAGCCAAAAATACTAGAGTAAACATTATTTTTAATTCTGCAGAATCCCATAAAAAGCAAGGACATGTAAAAGGTTTTATAGAATGAATATCTAAACCATTTCTAAGTTAACCCTCTGATAAGTAGTGGTGATTTATATTGTCATGATGTTAATGTGAAGAAGAAACCTTTTAGACTATGATCTTACATTGCTATGGAATCTATTAAAGAAAAACAATTTAGGGCCAGGGGTGTTTGTGTGCGCAATGACACTGTGTGTGTGTGTTCATTTTTACCTATGGAGAAAGAGACATGTATATAATTCTATTCCCCACAGAATAAAACCTCTTTTAGAACTCATTTGAATCTCAATGGAAAAAAAAAAGAAAGAAAACAGTTCAAAACGAAATGTACTTTAAATCTTCAGTGTTTTGAGAAATAGTCCATACAATCATATCCAGTGGCTGCCCAGGAGAATAAAGCTAGAGCGGCTGGTGAATCTAGAACTGAGAACACAATCAGACGGCACAGCTGTCACAAAGCAGACTGGTAAGTCCAGCAATCTGTGTGGTAGGCTCTGCCGAATGCAGCGCTGCTGAAGTCACCGTGGAAAACACGGCATCAAGCTTCATTCACGCTGAAAAAAATGAGTGTGGCTTCTCCCCCGTTCTAATCAGCCCGTCTTTAGCAAAAGCAAGACACAGATTTGCATGATTTGTATTCTATGGCTAGAGAACTGTGACCATTGTGGAAGTCTGAAAATGCCTATAGAGATATCTCTTTGAGGATTTGGTGTGAATCAGGTTAGGTGGGGGAAGGTCTGAGTTGGGAACTGAGATCCTCTCTGCTGACCTTTCTGGAAGTGCACGGCCATCAGCAGCGAATCTAAAGAAATTCTCTCATGACGTCCTTAGGAAAATACAACTGGAAAGTCCTTTGTCTGGTAGTGTTAATTGGAAGTGAATTATATGCTCAGTTTAACTTTGATAAGCAATACAGTCAAATAGCTGTCTTGTAAAAATCTTTAACAGCATACTCCTTTAGTATTCAATGCGTTTTGTTGAAGCAAAGAACAAATAGTGTTGTCCAGTGTCAATTGTGTGGATGTCTCAGCACAACAAAGTATTTATAATCAGGGCCAAGGGGGGGGGGGATGCTTTTTCCTTAACCGCATTTTTTTAAAGCAAGAGTTCATCATCTAAATAGTGTATGTATAGCTCTGATGAGTGAAGGAGCTAGTGGCTTCACTTTTTAAATAGCCTAGACTTTTAAAGCTGAAAGGTACTTTAAAGACCAGTCACTTGGACTTTCACATATTGGAGTTAAGGAGATAGAGTGTATTCTTTCATAAACAGCACACCCATATAAATACACATGTTGTTGTTAGATGACATTCCCACTCATAGCAACCTTATGCACAACAGAACACTACCCAGTTCTGCGCCAACACAATTGTTCTTATGATTGGGCTCATTGTTGCAGCCATTGTGTCAATCCATCTTGTAAAGGGCCTTCGTCTTCTTCTCTGCCCATCCACTTTACCAAGCATGATGTCCTTCTCCAGGGACTGGTCTCTACTGACATGGTCAAAGTACAAGAGGCAAAGTCTTATCATCATTGTCTCTAAGGAGGGTCTGGCTGTACTTTTTTCAAGACAAATCTGTTCTTTTAGCAGTCCATGGTACTGTCAATATTGTTCATCAACACAATAGTTCAAATTCGTCAGTTTTTCTTATGTCTTCCTTATTTAAAGTCTAACTTTCACAAGCAAATGAAGCCATTGAAAATGCCATGGCTTGGTTCAAATGTTCCCTAGTACTCACAGTAACATCCTTGTTTTGCAAGACTTTAAAGAGGTCTTTTGCAGCAGATTTACCCAATGCAGTTTGCCCTTTGATCTCCTCATTACTGATTCCATGAGCATTGATTGTGAATCCAGGCAAGATGAAATCCTTGACAACTTTGACTTTTTCTCCATTTATTGGGATGTTATCTATTGATCCAATTGTGAGCGTTTGAGGTTTTTTCCTCATTGAGTTGTAATCCATACTGATGGCTGCAATCCTTGATCTTCATCAGCAAGTAATTCAAGACCGTCTTATTTTCAGCAAGCAAGCTTCTGTCATCTGCACTTCTCAGATTTTTCATAAACATCCCTCCAATCCTAATTCCACATTCTTCTTAATATAACCCAGCTTCTCTGATTATTTGCTCAACATACAGATTGAATAAGTACGGTGAGAGGATACAAACCTGACTCTCACTTTCCTTGGTTTTAACCTATGCAGTATATCCTTGATCTGGTTGTACAACTGCCTCTTGATTCATGTTCAAGTTCTGCAGGAGCACAATGAACTGTTCTGGAACTCCTAATTGTGTTAGTCTGGGTAGACTAGAGAGACAAATTCATGTACACTCATATGTGTATAAGAGAGTGTTTTATATCAAGAAGCAATTATGCATCAATAAAACATCAAGCCCAGTCCTGATCAAGTCCATGAATTCAATATTAGCCTGTAAGCCCAATATTTGCCCATGAATTCCTCTTGAGACCCATGAAACACTTGCAATGACTCCAAATGCAGGAAGATCACAGGTCCATGGGTGGAAAATCTTGTGGATCCATGGCAGTGGAAGCATCTCAATGTTGGCAGGAATCTCCATGGTGCTCTAGCATAGCTCCATGTGTCTTGTCAGCAGGAATATCTTGCAGGGAGTGAATGTGTGTCTTGCCTCCAGCGAGCTGTTTATCTCTTTAATGCCTCCAAATGAGGTCACCAAGCTGCAACTTGATTGAAAGGCTAAACTCCACCCCTTCACTCTTGTCTCAAATTGACAACAGATTATGTGACTATCACACTGATCTTCTCAAAGTTACCCATAGTTTGTTATGGTGCCCAAAATCAATGCCTTTGTACCGTCAGTGAAATACAAGTAAACATCTTTCTTGTACTCCCTGCTTTCAGCCAACGCACCTCTGACATCAGCGATGATATCCCTCATTCCACATCCTCTTTTGAATCTGGCCTGAACCTCTCTGGCTGCTTCCTGTCAATGTATTGCTGCAACCATTGCTTGATGATATTCAGCAAAATTTCATTTGCATGTGATATCACTGATACTGTTCTACAATTTGAGCATTCTGTTGCATCACATTTCTTCATAATGGGTACAAGTATGAATCTCTTTCTGTCAATTGGCCATGTAGCTCTCTTTCAAATGTCTTGACCTGTCAGACTCATGAGTGCTGTCAGTGCTTCACACACTTGTTGAAGCATTTTCATTGTTTCCAACTCCTGGAGCCGTGGTTTTGGCTAATGTTTTCAGTGAACTTGGACTTTTTCCTTTATGGTACAGTGAACTTGTGTATTCTTCCCAAGTTCTTTCGATGCTTCCTGCATCATTGAATATTTTGTCCATAGAATCGTTTAATATTGCAACTTGAGGCTTGAATTTTTCCTTGAGTTCCTTCAGTTTAATATATGCTGGGTGTGTTCTTCCTTTTGGTTTTCTTACTCTGTGTCTTTGAATATTGCATTATAATAGTTGACTTTGTCTTCTCAAGATAGACCTTTGTATTTACTGAACAGTAAAATTCAAAGTAAAATGATTTCATCATGTCTTCCATTTGCTTAACCTCTAATTAAGAGCATTCCATTTGCCTTGTTCTGATTAACAGCAAGTTTCAGCGTCTCCTCTGACATCCACTTTGATCTTTGTTTGCTTTCCTGTCTTCTTAATAACCGCTTGTTTTACTTATGATGTTCTTAATGCCATTCTACAGCACATGTTTTCTGTCACTCGTGTTCAATGTAGCACGTCTGTTCTAGAGATCTTCTTGAAATTTGTGTGGGATATTCTCAAGATAATATTTTAGCTCCCATGCACTGTTTTAATTTTCTTAAACTTCAATGCGTTCTACAGTCAGCTCCT